GGAAGACATGGTGGTGCACACTTGAAGGGGCTGGTGGGATCCTGGTCCCTCTTGCTCTGCTTCCCCTGCTACTGAGAGATGAGCAGCATTGCCACGGGCTCCTTGTTGTGATGCTGTCTTACCACAGGCAGAGATAATAACGAGGGTCAAGTAGTCACAGATGGAAATCTCTGCAACCCCGAGCCTTTCCTCATTTTCCCTGTTTGGAAAGCTAGGGGTCGGACCCAGGACCTTGTGCATGCTTGGCCAGTTCTGGATCACTGAGCTATGGTCAGGCTCCTTTCCTGTGTACATTATCTCAGGTAGGGCCGAGGGTTACAGTGTTTGCAAGTCTGACTGGAGTTTGCATACCCATGTAAATGTTAGGTGGGCATGGTAGGCCTGCTTGTCATTCTAGCCTTGGGAGGGGGACACGGGGTGGGGTTGGGGTCTCCAGAGCAAGCTGACTAGCAAGACTAGCCACTATCAGTGAGCTCTGGGTTTAAATGAGAGACATGCCTTGAAGTATGAGGGGGAAGAGCACCAGAGGATTATTCCCAACATTAACCTCGGACCTCCATATGCATGCCCATATACACAGATGCACACACGTGCACACACACAGAGAAAAAAACTCTCATCCATATTTGTCACAGTCACAGCAAGCTGCCCAACAAGCTGGTCTAGAAGTTGGGCATACCTCTTGCTTGTTGACTTGGGGTGTGGGGTGTGGGGCGCCAGCATATTCTATGGATCTATTTCTTGTGATGTCTGATGGCACTCGGTATGTGTGGTCGGTTTGTGACTTGTGCAAATCTGTAGGCAGTTTGTGCATACCATGTCTTGTGTCTGTTTGGGGTTGACCCTCTGGGTTGAGTCTATCAGAGTGAGCCCACATTGTCTGTGGGGGGGGGTTAGAGGCTGTGTGTCCATGCTCTGTGGCGGGGGGGGGGGGTAGGTGACACCGGCTGTGTGCCCAAGAACACCACAGCCTTCCGGTACATTTGTTTCCTTCTTACTGTATCCGCCCCCACCCACCCATTTTGGCTAGCTAGCAATTAAACAATTAAACCATCTTCCAAAAAGTTGTTCTACCCAGAATCCCTTGAAAGAGCTAATGAAGGTTATTATTTTACATGGAGGCCCAAGTCTAGTGACTCACTCTCCGGAACACAGGGTTGCACACACACTGTAAGCCTGAGACAGCGTTCTCTGCCAGGCTACTGAACACTGCAAAGAAATAATGGCTTCGTGCTACTTGCCTACTTCCAGAGCCCACCTGCCTTCTTTCCTTCCTCCCTCCCTTCCTCTCTTTCTTTTCTCTACTTGAGATGGGAACATATTCCAGGCAAATACTCTGCCCCTGAGCAATATTCCCAGCCCTCTTTTTATTTTTAATTTTTTAAAAATTTTATGTGTATGAGGTTTTTTTTTTTTTTTTGGCATGTATGTATATGTGCCACATGTCTGCAGTGCCGTCTGAGGCCAGAAGATGGCGTCGGGTCCCCTGGAACTGAAGTTGTAGATGGTTGTGAGCCACCAGGTGGGCTGAAATTGAAGCTGAAGCTTGCTAAAGTTCTTTATCTCTTCTGGTTTTTGGTTTTTCGAGACAGTGTTTCTCTGTGTAACCCTGGCTGTCCTGGAACTCACTCTGCAGGTGTGCGCCACCACTGCCCACTTTTTTTAAAAGATTTATTTATTTATTATGTATACAGTATTCTGTCTGCATGTCTGCTGCAGGCCAGAAGAGGGCACCAGATCTCATTACAGATGGTTGTGAGTCACCATGTGGTTACTGGGAATTGGTTGTGAGTCACCATGTGGTTACTGGGAATTGAACTCAGCACCTCTGGAAGAGCAGGCAGTGCTCTTAACCTCTGAGTTATCTCTCCAGCCCCTCTCTGTGGGTTTTGAGGCCAGGTCTCACCATTCCTTCAGGCAGGCCTTCAGCTCACTGAGTAGCCCTGTCTGAAGAGGGAGGATGGCAGACCTGTTCCACAAACCTGACCTGGCTTCTTACTTCCTTAAAATACCAAGTGGGGCTGGAGAAATGGCTAGGCAGTTCAGAGCACCGGCTGCTCTTCCAAGAGGACCTGGGTTCAATTCCCAGCACCTTCCTGGTGGCCCCCAATAGTAACTCCACTTCTAGGGCACCTGATGCCCTTTTCTGCCTTCATGGGCAAAGCATAAGAACAAGTCTTAGAATACAAAGGTCCCTTGGGTGCGGGTCTGCAGCGGATCTCACCAGCACCCTCCCTCCTCCACGACTCTAGCACAGCTCCTTTGACAACTGGCTGAGCTAACAGCTCTTAGAGGTAAGGACTGACTCCCAGGTTCTCCTAGTTTTACCATGGAGTCACATGACAACACCCTGGCCAATGAGTTAGGAGTAAGTTTTGAATTGTGCCTCTTCCAGGTTTGTACTCCAGCCCAGGCAGGTTTGGAATTCCTCATAACCCGGGCTGTCCTCCAAATCACCAAGGCTAACCTCCTGCCTCTGCTTCCTGAATGCTAGGACTTCAGTGAACTACTATGCCCAGTTCTGGTGCTCTTCCTTAAAGGCTGCTTCTGGATGTGAGGTGGGAGAGGATGGGCATACACCAAGGTGTACAGAGACGGCTGCTGACACAGAGGTCATTATTCTGGGGAATATGTGAGCCCCTAAAGAGAAGGAATCAAGGGGTTGGAGAGATGGCTCAGTGGTTAAGAGCACTGCCTGCTCTTCCAAAGGTCCTGAGTTCAATTCCCAGCAACCACATGGTGGCTCACAACCATCTGTAATGAGGTCTGGTGTCATCTTCTGGCCTGCAGACATACACGCAGACAGAATATTGTATATATATTGTATGTATCCATATTAAATAAATAAACATTTAAAAAAAGAAATGTTATCATATCTGAGATAATTTGTAAATGTTGACTCTGAAATAATAAAAATTTTAAAAAATGAATCAAGCTACAGGGAGGGTGTGGTTACACATGCCTTTATTCCTAGCACCTAGGAGAAAGCGGTTAAGAAGAATCTCTGAGTTTGAGGCCAGCCTGGCCTACACAGTAAGTCCAGGCCAAACTATGTCTCAAAACCAACAAAAAAGCCGGACTTGAGCTTTCATCTTCATAAGCCCCGTTATCTTGGGCTGTTACAGCAGCAGAGGGTTTAAGAGAAGTCTGTATGGGTACGTAGCCTGTTTGCAGGAAGCTGAGTGCTGGGACGGATGCTGGTCCTCTGCTACAGCAGCAAGCACTTTTTTTTTAAACTGATATTTATTGAGCTCTACATTTTTTTTTTTTGCTCCCCTCCCTGCCTCTCCCCTCCTTCAATTCTTCCCCAAGGTCCCCATGCTCCCAATTTACTCAGGAAATCTTGTCTTTTTCTACTTTCTACATCCCATGTAGATTATATCTGTGCAAGTCTCTCTTAGTGTCCACATTGTTGTCTAAGTTCTCTGGGATTGTGGTTTGTAGGATGGCTTTCTTCGCTTTATGTTTAAAAACCACCTATGAGTGAGTACATGTGATAATTGTCTTTCTGTGTCTGGGTTACCTCACTCAAAATAATGTTTTCTAGTTCCATCCATTTTCTTGCATAATTCAAGATGTCGCTATTTTTTTCTGCTGTGTAGTACTCCATTGTGCAAATGGACCACATTTTCTTTGGTCGAGAGGCATTTAGGTTGTTTCCAGGTTCTGGCTATGACAAACAAAGCTGCTATGAACATAGTTGAACACGTCTTTGTGGCACTATTGAGCATCCTTTGGATATATACCCAAAAGTGGTATTACTGGGTCTTGAAGAAGGTTGTTTCCTAATTTTCTGAGAAATCGCCACACTGACATCCAAAGGGGCTGTACCAGCTTGCATTCCCATCAGCAATGCAGGAGTGTTCCCTTTTCCCCACAACCTCTCCAGTTTAAGTTGTCATCAGTGTTTTTGATCTTGACCATTCTTACAGGTTTAAGATGGAATCTCAGAGTTGTTTTGATTTGCATTTCTCTGATGATGTTGAGCATTTCCTTAAGTGTCTTTCAGCCATTTTAGATTCCTCTGCTGAGAGCTCTCTGTTTAGATCTGTACTCCATTTTTTTTTATTGGATTATGTGATCTTTTGGTGTCCAGTTTCTTGAGTTCTTTGTATATTTTGGAGATCAGACCTCTGTCTGATGTGGGGTTAGTGAATATCTTTGCCCATTCTGTAAGCTGTCCTTTTGTCTTGTTGACCGTGTCTTTTGCTTTACAGAAGCTTTTCAGTTTCAGGAGGTCCCACTTATTGTTTCTCTCAGTGTCTATGCTGCTGGGGTTATATTTAGGAAGTGGTTCCCTGTGCCAATGTGTTCAAGTGTATTTCCTACTTTCTTTTCTATAAGGTTCGCACTTTTTAAAAAAAAGTTTATTTGCATGCATTGGTGTTTTCCCTGCATGGATGTCTGTGTGAGGGGGTCAGATTTGGGAACTATAGATAGTTGTGAGCTGCCATGTGGGTGCTGGGAATTGAACCCAGGTCCTCCGGAGGAGCAGCGCTGAGCGCTGAGTGATCTCCCCAGCCCCACAGCAATCAATCTTAGCCGGGAACCGCCTCTCCAGTGCGCAGGATATTATGGTAAGTAAAAAGGTGTAAGGCCACTGGGTGGTGGTGGCACAAGCCTTTAATCCCAGCACTCAGGAGGCAGAGGCAGGCAGATCTTTGTGAGTTCGAGGCCAGTCTGGTCTACAAGAGCTAGTTCCAGGATAGGCTCTAAACCTACAGAGAGACCCTGTCTCGAAAAACAATCAAAACAAAAGATGTAAAGCCATCTCTTGGAGGAATCTAGGTGCCACCTCTTCATCCAGATATTTTTTGGAAGGGGTCTTTTTATGTACTTCTCGCTATTCTTGGAACTCACTCTGTAGACCATGCTGGCCTTGAACTCAGAGCTCTACCTACCTCTGCTCCTAAGTGCTGGGATTAAAGGTATGCCCATCACTGCCGCCCACCATGAATCACTACCATGATCTTCCCAAATCAAGAGACTCCCACATCCTCCTGGGTTCTCATTAATTTAATGCACAAATCTCAAAAGTCAACAGCAGACAGAAGTGAATAATATTAAACAGGGGAGGAAAGGGTCACAGGCGGACAGAGGGGCCCTGTCAGGGCTGCAGCAGGGGACCACGTCCTTCCGTGTCACATCTCGTCCAACCCGTAGTCCTCCTCGGGGAAGTCTCCCACAGTGACAAGAGACGGCTTGACAAAGGCACCGTACTTGGGCTGGCATTCAAAGTAGCGTTTCCCATTCACACTGCAGGACAGGACAGGAAGGCAGCAGTGAGGGGCGGCTACCACTCCACGAGCCATGTGTGTGCGGGCTCCCACATACATGGACAAGCACATACAGCAGCGGGCACATGTTACCTGCCATCGTTCTTCCCTAAGGGCTCATCATACCGGACGCCAACCCAGTAGCCTGGCTTGAAATCTGTGAGTCCTGCCCAGGAGAGAAATCTCGGTGAAACCTCTAGATGGAGCTCACTCCTGGCTGCTTCCTTGTGGAGTGGAAAGGCTGCCGTGGAGACAGACTCCTACCTCCACTGCTTATGTGGCAATGTAGCCGTGGATAAGCTAGGCTTCAGGTTAGTGACTGACTGCATAGATTTCATAGGAGCTGGTGTAAGACTTTAAGACAATTCTGAAGCCATTTCTGACAATTCTGAACCCGCTCAGCCTCCGTGCCTTAGTGCTTCCCCTCCTCCCCTGGGAACCAAGGACCTAACAGCTACACATGCACGTACTCAGTTCCTGAACAATTACCCATACACATATGTTTTGACTCAGTCCCCTGGGAAACAGGGTCAAAATGACCTCTTACCTCATCTGATCTGACAATAGCTCTCCAACCAATTATTGGTATTAGCCCTTTTCGAATAAAGCCAATCATAATGGTCAAAGAACAACCCCCCTTGCTTCTGTGGCCTTCTCCTTTAAAAGTAGACTGTACCAGCTATTCGAGGTCTCTCAGCTTCCCGAATGCTGAGGGACCCTGTCATGACAGAATTAGTAAAACCCTCATGCTTTTGCATCGGCTGTGGTATATGAGATGGTCTATGGGGGCAACTCCTTCTCGGTTTGGACACTAGAATCCAACACTGGGTGTGGTGGTGCACACCTTTAATACCAGCACTTGGGAGGCCAAGGCAGGACAGCCTCTGAGTTTGAGGCCAGCCTGGTCTTCCATGATGCTATGGCCAACTGCATGGAGCCAAATGGCCATGAGCTGAACGCTCTGAAACTATGAGCCAAAAAACATCTTTCCGAAAGTTCTGTCAAGTTTCCAGTCACAGTGCCAAAAAGACACCTACCTACATACATGACAGTGCCTCGGCGAAGGGACTGGCCAGGTGCCTGCACCTCACAACGGCTACCCACAGAGATGGCACTGGCTTGGGCCTTCTCCTCGCTGAGGCGCTGGGCAGCTTCAGCCTCTCGCTGCGCCCGAAGTTCTTCATTGTATGGGCCTACCTTGCTGCGCTTCATGAAGGACCGAACTGTGTCTGTGGGCAGGGAGGGGGCAGGGAAGGGGGACAGGGTCAAACCTGACCTTCAGATCACGTTCCTCCCACAAAGGGCTGAAATTCATACAGAAATTCTATTCTGAGTGTTTAAGAGCTGCCACCACCAGATACCCGCAAGCTTCTCCCCTACTTTCCTCTCCCTACCCTCCATCTGCTTCCCGTCCCTCACCTGACCCTATTTCTCCACACACCCCTCTGGTCTGGTATCCCATTCATCTTCATCTGGCTCCTGAAATGCTCCCGTCTACCCACCCTGACCTTTCCTCAGATGCCTGCTCTAAATGCCACACCACCCTGGACACATCCCATGCCATCTTTACCACTACTTCTTCAACCCAATCCCCAATCCACCTCGAGTCCCTGTCTTTCAAGGGCCCCTTTGCCTGCCTAACCCCATCTCCCGGCCTACCAGGCACTCCATGCCAGCTGCCTTGACTCATCTCCCAGTGCCTGTCCCTGAGTCCCACCTCCCCACCTTCCACTCTCCAAGGCCGGTCCCCACTGCCTCTCCCAGCCTTCTGAACCCCACAGGACCCTTCCAGCCCGGCCCAAGCATTCTGTACTTTGCCTCCGGTCATAAGCTTCCGATGAGATTTCGAATTTCTCCACCTTGGACACATCCTCATATTCTCCAAGCCGGACGCCACTGTGGTCAACGACCTTTGGTAAGAGGAGGGAGGTCAGTGGGGACCGGGGTCGGTAGAGAAGACCTGGGATGCTGGCATCAAGTCACATACTGGTATGGTCTGGAGACTTTAACAGAGGCCACACTCCTCCCCCGCCCGCCCGTCACCAGCACAGCAGGACAGACACTGGCCACTCCCCTTCCTCACCCCCAGCTCAGCCTCGGGATACTGGGATACTGCATCTGCCCCCAGATGTCCTCCACACGCTGGCGTCAACATCATTGATGTGGCCAAGCTCCTGAAACCAGCTGGACATCTCAAGTCTGGCTCACATCCTTCCTCTCAGGGCATAGCAATGCTCTGAGGGTGGCCCCCACCTCCAGAACCAGGATCATCTGGGTCTCTGGTTTCCCTGTTCTGCCTGTCCTCCATCTGGCTTCCCGCCTACAACTTGAGGTGCCCATGAACCCCTGAGGCACAGCAGACCCCTCATGCTCAGCGCCCTCCTAACATCCACTGTCCTCCCCAACAGCTCCCGGAAGCCGCTGGATTCCCTTCCGCTTCAGAGTGTTCTCATAGGCCATGCCCTCCCTGCCTCTTCTATTATTGAGACGTCCACACGGCACCTGCTCCCAGAAATCCTCACAGATCTCACTGAAGGCCAGCCTCCTCAGCACCCAAGATGCCAACCTCTCCTGCACAGCCCTCATGCCCACAGATTTTCCTATCTGGTTCTGTGATCATTTGGCTAATGCCACCACAGCCCACGGGTAGGGCTAACACAGGCCTTCTGGGTTATGTCTCGCAACTATGCCCAACCCAACACACATGTTTGAAGAACCAGTAACAGGATACATGAACAACAGAAAAAATGACCAGTTCTCCAGGCTTAGTGGCTTCTGGAGTCAGGGCAGACCCAGGTCAAAATTCTAGCAAGAGTTCACCCGTAAGAAGGTGAACTCCAGGGCTGGAGAGACGGCTCAGCAGTTGAGAGCACTCTTCCAGAGGACCCAGGTTCAATTCCCAGCACCCACATGACAGCTCACAACTGTCTGTAACTCCAATCTTTTTTAAAAAGTCAGAAAGTTTTTTTTTTTTAAAAAAAAAAAAAAGGGAAGAAAGAAAGAGTAAACTCCAGTGTTGGGAGGGCGGCCCAGGCCTATAATCTCAGTACTCTGGAGGTAGAGGCAAGAGGATTATGAGTTCAAGGACAAGTACAGTCTGGAGAACACACACACACAAAGAAATCAAACTGCATAAGAACAATCAACCAACAAACAGAACAAAATAACAGCAATAATTCCTCCCACAAATGGAGATAACGGAACCACAGTCCTGGCGTTATTCTGGGGGTCAACGAATCAGCAGTGACTCGGTGATTCATGGAGGACCCTGTGTGTGCTGGGCCCTATTCCCATAGCTGGTGATACTGCGCTGACCTACAGCGAGAGCGACTTCTGTCCTCCCAGAATTCTAATCAGGGAGACCGACAAAAAACCAGACCAGTGAGAAAGCCCCATGATATGCTGGAGTGTGGGAAGAGCAAAGAAAAAACCCAAAATATGCTTTAAAAAAGGAGAAAGAGAGGTCAAATTTTTATACTAAGTTATAATTCCATCTGGCATGTAGAGATAAACTCAGGAATAGAGGGCTAGCCATGGCTACACAGGGAGTTTGAGGCCAATCAGGGAAGCACAAAACTATCTCAAAAAAACAAGAGGTGCTGGAGAGGTGGCTCAGCAGTTGAAAGCACTGCTGCTCTTGCAGAGGACCCAGGTTCGGTTCTCAGCACCCACACAGCAGCCCACAACACCTGCGACTCCAGTTCCAGGGGATCCAATGTCCTCTTCTGGCCTCTACGCATAGACACACATACAGGCAAAATACTCACACACAAAACAAAATGAATAAATCTAGAAACAAACCAACGCAGCAAAAGGGGAAAGAACAGAAGGACAGCAGCAGTGAGATGGCTCAGTGGGTAAAGGTGCCTGCTGGCAAGCCCGGTCCTCAGAGCGCAACTCACAAGACTCACACAGAGGAGAAAACCATACCGTGTGCACCGTGGCACAAAATAAATAAAAACAAACAAAACACATGAAACTGCTGACTCATAAAGGTGCTATCTGGAAGGCCATTTTCTTGTCTGTGCTAACAACTGAGCTTAGGCTTTCTGGTTCCACCACACCTGGCCCTTCCATTGTGTGTGTGTGTGTGTGTGTATACGCCAGAGGGCAACTTTGTGGAACTGGTTCTCTCCTTAATGAGGGTCCAGGAACTGAACTCAGGCTGACTAGCTTCTGCAACCAACTCCTATTTTTTTGAGACAGGGTTTCACTGTGTAGTCCTGGTTATCCTGAAACTTACTATATAGACCAGGTAGGCCTTGAATTTACAGAGACCTGCCACTGTCTCCCAAGTGCTAGAATTAGAGGTGTGTGCCATCACTGCCCGACTTGTTTATTTTTTGGTTTTTCGACACAGGGTTTCTCTGTAGCTTTGGAGCCTGTCCCGGAACTAGCTCTTGTAGAGATCAGACTGGCTTCAAACTCACAGAGCTCTGCCTGCCTCTGCCTCCTGAGTGCTGGGATTAAAGGCGTGCGCCACCACCGCTTGGTGTTTGTTTTTTAACCGAGTCCCACTGTTTATTTTAGGCTTGCCTCCTAACTCCTCCTGAATGCTGAGATTACAGGTGTGCCCCACTGTCTCCAGCACTGGACGAACATCTTAAGTAAAGATTAGAAGGCTCAGTTGTGTGGGTATATGGAAGTGAACTTTTTGGATAGAGAATACAACACAAGACAGAAAAGGGAATGGAGGCAAAGCTTAGAATCGGAGGTCTAAGCACCAGCGGGGTAGGAACTGAGTGGGGGAAGGTGGGGAGAGGTTGAGGGCAGACTGATGAGAGCTGATGCACACAGAGGCTTTTTGTGTTCTTGCTTCTCCCAGTCTGGCTAGCCTGACTGCTCATGGTGGTTCACCACAATTCTTTAGTGCTCTGTACTTTCTTCCCCCCACCTTCCCCCACCACATAAACAGCCTCAGGATATAGCTCAAACATCCATTCCTCCAGGAAGCCTTTTCAGAATCCCCCAAGTGAAGTCAAGTGACTCCTGTGTTTGACCACTCCCCCGGGGTGCCTCTAACCCTGTCCAGACAACTCTGGTCTGTCACTGTCTACTGAACACTGCTTTTCACCATGCGTAACTGGGGGTTCCCTGAGGGCAGGGCCTATACTAGTTACCACACCCGGGCAAAGCACAGCAAGAATTTGTTCAGTAAATAAACAAACGAATGGACGTTCTGTGGAGTCCCAGGAAGGGGGCCTCACATGGATGCGGCAGCCATCATCTACAGGATAGGAGCCCAGCAATGCATCCTCTTGATCCAACTTGCTGTAGAACTTGTCGTCGGCGCCATACAGCTCCAGTTCCATGCAGGAAGCAGGACTGCCCACCACCAGTTCGAGTTTACACTGCGGCAAGGTGGCAGGAGAGGAGAAAGGCTGTCAGAGGCCTCACTTTCGGGCTCGTATCAACAACTACGATGGCATCCCTGCTGTTCCCAAAGGCCTGGACCTAGCACAGTTCCCTCTGGGTCCCGCCCCCTCGGCTCTCTGGAGCATCTGATTTTCCCGGGTCCCGCCCCTACCCTGTGGACTATTTCTCTGGAGCTCCCACGCCTCAGAGGCTGGTTGCCAGTCTCTGCAGGCTCACCTCAAGCTCCGCCCACTAGCCGACAGTCCCCGCCCCCGGACCCCGCCCCCAAGGCCACACCTTGAACTCTGCGATGGTCAGGCTACGACTGTACCGCTTCTCTGAGCGGAAGCTGTTGAGAGAGCTGCTGATGAAAACCGTCACCGTGGGCGCCGAGATCCCCGTCACCTCCATCTCGCCGCGCTCTGTAGTGGCCCGCGATCCGGTTCAGCAGCCTCACACCGGCTCCGCAGTGGCCGCCGCTCCTTCTGGGATATCAGTCCCGCCCCTGGTTCCGAAGCTGACCAATACAAGCGCTCCAACAAACACGGCCGGCCAATCGCTATCGTCCTTTCTCCACCTCCAGGCTGAGTCTCTGGCAGGTCCAGCCAATCCCGAGAGGCCGTCCGTGCCTCTCGGTTCTTCCAATAGCTGCACAGGAAACCGCCCAGGAGGGCGGGAGGAGGCGGACGCCAAGAAGAAAGACAGGCTGGAGTTAAGCCTGGTTCGCCAGAGTAAACTCGGCGCATGTGCCTGACGCCAAGAAGAGAGCGACGGCTTCTTCCGTTTACGCTCAGCGCCTTGCGGGTGGCGTTGCGCATCCTAGTCTCACCCCTTGTCCTAGATCCGTGCTACTCTGTAAATCGAGAAGCAAGGTTCCGAAATCGGGAGTGATTACCAGAGAGTACCTAAGGATTGCTGCAAGCCGTCAGCCAGACTCCCCAGCAAGAGCGAGAGCCCGCGTGCGCGCGCAGCCCCGGCCCGCGGTCTGACCCTTCCCACGGTCCGTAGGGCGACCGCGCAAGCGCGGAAGATTCGACAAGCCCGTCGCTATGGAACCAGACGGGACCTACGAACCGGGTTTCGTGGGTATTCGATTCTGCCAGGAATGGTGAGTCCCGGGCAGCTGGTGTGGGAAAGCAGCGAGGATTGGCTTTAGGGCTGACCCGTGACCTCCCTCTCCCCCCAGTAATAACATGCTGTACCCCAAGGAGGACAAGGAGAACCGCATTCTTCTGTACGCGGTGAGTGCCGGCCGCCCTCTCCAGCCTGTTCGCGCGCCCTCCTCTCCGCCCCCTGCTGGGTCCCACGCTTTTGCCTCTTGACTGCCCCTCAATACACCCTCTTGTCCTTCCCCTCCTGGGATCATCCTTCCCTCCATCCTCTGATGTGTTTGTGACACCTCTCCCGCCACTCTTCCCTCTCCTGTAGTGCCGCAATTGCGATTACCAGCAGGAAGCTGACAACAGCTGCATCTACGTCAACAAAATTACGCACGAAGTGGAGTGAGTGGCGGGACCCCGGCTTGGGGCACGGGTATGCTCTTGGGACACCCAATCTAACCGTAATTACTCGCTTCCCCATCACTGCAGCGAGCTGACTCAGATCATCGCAGACGTGTCGCAGGACCCCACGCTACCTCGGACGGAGGACCACCCTTGCCAGAAGTGAGTGGCCTGGGGGAAAGAGAGTGGCTGTCCCCTGGGGATGACGAGGGTCTTTTCACACTTTTAGTAACTGAACCGTCCCCGTAGGTGTGGCCACAAGGAAGCAGTATTCTTCCAGTCACACAGTGCGCGAGCTGAGGTGAGTAGGCTACCTCTTTCTGGGTGGCTGGGTGGTTCCCCAGGGGATGGGAACGCCAGTTTGGGACTGATGTAATACTTCCTCAAATCAAGATTGGAAAGTTCCTTTGACAGTTCTTTGGGGTACCCCACACTGCTCTCCCCTGACTTCAGACCCTTCCTAATTGAACGTTCTTCTTGCTAGGACGCCATGCGCCTGTACTACGTATGCACCGCCCCACACTGCGGCCACCGCTGGACTGAATGACCCTTCCCCACCTATAATAAATGCCAGTTTTTGTACTAGCGTTTCCTGTTTATTCGTCTCGTGGATAAGAAGCCGCCGGTATATCAGGTTGTGCGGTGGAGCGTGCGATGCTGTGCGTAAGCATCAGGCCGAGAGCTGGTGAAGCCACAGTCTTCACACACGTGCAGCTTCTCCCTGCGCTCCCGGTAGGCATAGCTGGCTGGCTGCCCGTGTACCTTGGCAAGGTGAGCTTCAAGGGAGCAGCGCTGAGTGAAAGCTTTCCCACAAGCTCCACAGCGGAATGGCCGTATTCCTGTAAAGATGAGGGCAGAGGGCAATGGCTGCGGACTCTAGGCTTGGGCTGTAAACTGTAGGTGGACTTCCCGCCTTGCATTTCCTGTCCTTATTCCAGGCTGGGCAGACACTTACATTCACGGCCCACCAGCCATCTGCTATCCCTTCCCTAAGGCAACAAGAGCCAGACCCTGGGTCTCCTCCACTCCTCCCTGGAAAGCTCTCCTGAGAAAGGCAGGGGTCCTTGGCAACTTGGGAAGTTCCCTTGACTGCTCTGAATATGGATTCCAAAAGTTTATTGTTCTGTTGTGAGACAGTTTCTCTGTATAGCCCTGGTGGTTCTGGAACTCGCTCTGTAGAACAGGCTGACCTCGAATTCACATAAATCTGCCTGCCTCTGCCTCCCAAGTGCTAGGATTAAAGGTGTGTGCCACCACTGCCCGGCTTTATTGATTGATTTATTTTTTAATGATTTACTTATTTTTATTTTATGTGCATTGGGTATGTGCTTACATGTTTGTCTGTGTAAAGGCATAGGATCCTCCAGAACTGAACAGAACAGGCCCCCGGGAGCTGCCATGTAGGTGCTGGGAGCAGAACCAAGCTACTCTGGAAGAGCAGCCAGTGCTCTTAACCACTGAGCCACATCTGCAGACCCTGTTGATTTATATTGGCACCAAGGTCTCACTGTGTAGGTCTAGTTGGCCTGGAACTCAGATCTGCTGGGATTTAAAGCAAGTACTACCAAGCCTGGCGTAGGTTTTTAACTACGTTTTGTTTAGTGTGTGTGTTTGTGTGTGCATGTGAGTGAACCTGTGCACAAATGCCATGGCACAAGTCAGAAGGTAATTGAGGGAGTCTGTTCCTACATCACCTGTGTCCTGGGGACTGAACTCAGGTCGTCAGGCTTGCCAGCAATGGCCTTTACTCTGAGAAATCTTGCTGGCCCCAGCACCTGAATTCTGTAGCCAGCACCCATCTCTACCCTCTGCCCGACCCCTTTCTTAGTGCCATCTTATTCCCACCTCCAATGAGGTATATCATGTCTCAGGCCTCTCGTGATGTCCCTGCTACTCAAACACCCCCCCAACCCCATACCCCATGAATCTCCCTCTGGTTCATTTTCTCCCCATCCCCATCTGGTGTCCAGAAGACCCTCATTGTCCCTGCTGTCGCTCACCTGTGTGAGTCCTCATGTGGCGCTTGAGATCAAAGGCGTCGTGAAAGCCCTTGCCGCAGCAGTGGCACACGTGGCGCCGTGCTGGGCTATGGCACTTGAGGTGCCGAGTCAGCATGCGCTGCAGCGGGAAGGCCTTGGGGCAAAGCGGGCAGCCAAGTGTCCCCGGGGCCCTGGGAGCAGAGGTCAGGGTTCCCTGTGAGGACTGCCAAAGGGGTGAAGGAGTTAGCCGGGCCAGCTGTATCCTGCCCAGGCTTTGCTACTCTACAAACAAGAGTTTTCAGTGTGCCCACAGCTAAGGACCATAAGAAGAGGGTCTGTGGGTAGTGGGGACAGGTGCTACCCTCTTCTTAAGACCTTCCTTCACCAATCCCATCACTGACCCTTCATGTCCCTCCATTGCCAGGAACACTTTGCTGATACAAGCTTTCCTAGTTTTATTGTCTGTGCTTGTGAGAAAGTGGGCATCCATCCCTTCTGAATCCTCAGCACCTTGCTCAGTGCCTGCCTCTCACATACCGAGCTGACCCTAAGCTCTCTCAGTTTTGACTAGTACTTTCCTGCCTCTCAAAGGCAGCACAGCTGACCTTCCTGGGAGGTTAAGGCAGCAGAGCCCCCGCCCCCATCTCTGTTACCTTACCCAGTGTTGATGTAAATCACGTTCCACCTAGTTTGCACCCACTGGACACAGATCCCTGGAGCAGGACCCTACAGCTGCCCACCTACCCTAGGAATGTAGGTCTTAACCGAGACTGGACTGAGCTGGCTGCTGGGAAAGGAGCGGCTTGCCAAGTGAAGAAGGTCCTGGACCGGAAGTGTGTGCACCGGGACCTGGAGTAAGGGACAGCCAGCTTCCCGAATGTGGGTGGAAATTAGTCCCCGTGCCAGCTGCAGACTCACCGCTGCCCAAGTGTCTCTCAGACTAGGAGATCTGTGCGCTGGTGGCACTGCCAGGCTGCAGCAGTCTGGGGAGAGAAGCCAGAGGGTGACCCCTGTGTCTCCCTGGCCCTTCGCTGCCAGGCCCAGGGAGGTGCATACCTGGGATATAGGCATCTCCCCGGAGCTGGTCAGGCAGACGGCTCCAGTTAGGTGGTTGTGGTCGCCGACTCCTCACAAGGAAGACCCGGGGCATTGCTTTCAGGGTGGTGCAGTGGCTCCCCACAGCACTGCCTCCTCTATCTGCTGCGTGTCAGACCTCAGCCCAGAACTATGCAGCGCTAGGTGAGGTCAGGAGACCCACGGAGGAGCCTCATTCTCTTCATGCAAATTTTGGGACAAGCCCGGGGAGCAGCCTTAACTGGCTCTCAGTTACCTCTGCTTCAGGGCCTGCCGTTATGGCTCCTTCCCTAGGCCAGGCTCCCAAGGAACACTGCAATCTCCAGGGGCTGAGACACTTAGAGGACCCCCAGAGATGCTTGAGTGAGGGAAGAGCCTAGGCTGCGCCTGAGACTGGAGAGAAGAAAGATACATGGCCCCAGTCCTGGCACCGTGAAGGACTCAAGGGACAAGGGACTGTTTACCAGGCAAATCAGCCCGCGTCCGTTCCCCCTCCACACACATCGTCAGTCTGCCTGGTTATTCAAATCACACAGCTGTCCAAGGATGCGGGTGGGGACAGCTGTGATTGTTCTGTGCCACTGGTGTAGGGTGACAGCCGAATGGGTAGTTAAAAAATAAAGGTCTATCCAGGCTGAACCTCCTCAGGCAGGAAGATCTCTCTGATCTTCAGATTTCCAAAGATGACATGACATCCATCTTTCTAGCTTAGGGCATTAGAATGCTGGTTTGTCAACAGTCCAGTTCCTAGTGAGTTCACAGGACTCCTCCAATCCCTGGAGCCGCCAGGAATTTACTACACTCCAGGTAGGCTGTTCTAGATTGATCCTTATCTGATGTCTGAACTAGGAGTCAAGAATACAGGACACTCTCCCCATAGTTAATCTTTATTTGTTTGTTTGTTTGTTTGTTTGAGCCGGTTTCTCTGTGTAGCCTTGGGTGTCCTGGAATTTGCTCTGTCAACCAGGCTTGCCTCAAACACAGAGATCTGCCTCCCAAGTGCTGGGATTAAAGGTGTGTATCACCCAGCCCACTGGGTCTTGGTGTTTGTTTGTTTTACTCACACCAATAGAAGGGTTCAAGGGATTGAACTCAGGTCACCAGGCTTGCATGGCAAATGCCTTTACTTGCTGAGCCATCTCACCACCACCACTACCACCCCTTGTAAACGAAATAGAACAAAAACAGGGTCTTACGCATCTCAAGCTGGCTTCCAATTTACTATGTAGCCTTTGAGACAGGGTTTCTCTGTAGCTTTGGAACCTATCCTGGAACTAGGTCTTGTTGCTCAGGCTGGTCTCGAACTCACAGAGATCTGCCTTCCTCTGCCTCCTGAGTGCTGGGATTAAAGGCGTGAGTCACCACCGCCCGGCGCCAGAGATGGTCTTGAACTTGTGATCCTCCTACCTCTACCTCTCAAGTGCTGGGATTGTAGGCATATGCTACCATACTCATTCTCTGTGGTGCTGGGGATGGAGCCCAAGACTTGGGGGGTGCCAGGTCAGCTCTCTATTAAATTACATCCCACTCCAGGAAAGATTCCTTTGCATTTCTTGTGTTAAGATTTGAGTGAGAAGTTCTCCGAAAGCTCATGTGCCGGTGAATCCAGTTGAGAACTGATCAGGTCACGAGCCTTCCAAGCTCACCCATGAATTAATCCATTGATGGACTCAGAATTTGATGGCATTCTTGAATTAGTAAAACTAAGTGGTGAGGCCTGGTTGGAGGAAGTGGGGCTCTGAATTATGTACCTGTGAAGAGCACATCCTGTTCCCAGACCTCTCTCTGGCTCTCTGCTGCTGGCCACCATGAGGTGAGCTGCCTTCTCTGCCACAGCCAGGAAGTTCTGCTCTGCCTGAGGCCCACAGCAACGTGGCAGCCAAGCATAGCTGGAAACCACAGCCTAAACAAACCTTTCCTGTTTCTCAGGTACTTTCATAGGATGGGAAGGTGACTGGCACAGGAGTCGGTCTTGTAGATACATCATGGGCTACAAGGGTAAAAGCTTGCTCCTCGCCTGCATGCTGAGCTTTGCCACGCTGTCTCTGCACGTCCTACAATGTAGGACCTGAACAAGTCGCCTCTCAAGAAGCCTTTAAAGAACATGACTTTTGTGTGCATGTCTGTGTGAAAGTGCATGAGAGTGCAGGTGCCCGCAGTGGCCAAGGCATTGGGTCCCATGGAGCTGGAGTTACAGTGGACGTGAACAGGTGTGGGTGTCGAGAATGAGATTTGTACCCATTGGAAAAGCCGTTTGTGTTCTTAACTGTGGAGCCAACTCTTCAACTTGTTTATATTGTTGCTGTCATTTTTTTTTTTTTAATGCTGAGATTGATGCAATCCAGGCTGGTCTCAAACTTATGTAGCTGAGGCTAGCCTTGAACTTCTGATCCTCCGGTCTCCACCTCTCACATGCTAGAATAATAGAATTACAGGTATGTGCTGTCCATACTCAGCTTCTCCATTCGGCAGTTGGGTGTAAAGTGTCTTCCTGCTATGGTGCATATTAGTCTCCACAGATCGCATGCTCAGTGTGAATCAGCCAAGAGTGGACATACCCAGTCCTGAAGTGGCTGGGCAGGCTCTTGAGTTTTGCTGACCTGGCTGAGAAATGGGGCTGAAGTGGCTCCATGTTACACCGGCTGGACTTCATACTATGACCGGTGCCCTCGTGCAGGTTGGTGTCTCAAGCCAAGTGTGGGTATGGGGCACAGATGGTGGTGGCAAAGGAGGGGCTGACACACTAATGGGGAGTGCTCTATGTCCACTACCATGTCTCCTGAGGTAGTTCTCTGTGTATCCCTGGCTATCCTGGGACTGACTCTGGAGACCAGGCTGGCCTCAAACTCACAGAGAACTACCTGCATCTGCCACAAGTGCTGGGACTAAAGGTGCATGCCACCACCACCTGGCTGTTATTCTCTTTTTTAAAATAAATAATTGTTAATATTATTGGTTTTTCTTTTTTTCGTTAAAGATTTATTATGTACACAATATTCTGCCTGCATGTATGCCTACAGGCAAGAAGAGGGCACTAGATCTCATTATGAATGATTGTGAGCCACCATGTGGTTGATGGGAATTGAACTCAGGACCTTTGGAAGAGCAGCCTCTTAACCTGAGCCACCTTTCCAGCCCCTGTGGCTATTATCCTCTTAATCAGAGCTCCTGTGACTACCCACAAGGGGACCTTCAACAAGATCAGGCCTATGGACCTTCCTTCCTAAGAGTGGATGGAATGAAGCTGGGTGATGGCCCTGCGCTTCAGGAGACCTCTCTGCTGGGTTCCTTTATACGGGGACTTGGAGCAGTTATGTGTGTGGTCATGAGTGGCCTTTTTTTTTTTTTTCTCCCCGAGACAGGGTTTCTCTGTGTAGCTTTGGAGCCTGTCCAGGAATTTGCTCGGTAGACCAGACTGGTCTTGAACTTACAGAGATCCGTCTGCCTCTGCCTCCCAAGTGCTGGAACTAAAGGCATGTGTCACCACTGTCCAGCTGGCCTTCTTAAGGGCATACTATGTGTCTGAATGCCTACTCCTGCCAGAGGGAGCTGGTGGCTCAAGGAATGAAGCTGGATGCAGTCCCATTCCTGAGCATTGGGTGGCTTGGGGTTACTGTCGATTGTTCAGTGGTGTTTGTCTACTTCCCCTGCTGCAGAAGTGACAGCAGCAACCTAGACCATGCAGAATCCGGTGTAGATTTAGCCCAGGACTGTCAGTCAGGAGTATATGTACTGAGGACAGGGTCAGACCCATGATGATCACAGTAGCTCCAGTGGGTTTGTAAGTACCTATAGGTACTAGCTCCTCCCTAGGTACAGCTGGGCTCCAATGGGCAAAGAACACACATGACCCCTGCAATAGCTCAGCATGCTAGGGACAGGCTACATGGGAAACCAGGCCAGGCAGGCATTCATCGTTACTGTTGGTCCCATGTTCCCTGTCAGCGTCCACAGAACAGGGCCTAGAGCTGAAGCAAAGCTGAGTCTCCAGGCTGCTTCATTCACGCAGGGGACTCTGCATCCAATGAGGAGGGCTTTGCAGATAGGACAGGTTCTAGGAAACAACTTTATTTAGTGTAGTCAGTTTATTTGCATAAAAATCTATTTCTCCAGCACAGCAGGGATTTGGTAGAGGGACTGCTGTTCTCAGTCACCCCTTGCCTTCCTCTTCACTGCCTGCACCAGCAGCTCAGAGTAGTGCTCTAGCAGGGCCTGCAGGTTTGGGCTGGCCAGGGGACACAGTGTAGGTGGGGATGGCAAAGCTGGGCTAGGCAGTGTTTGGGGCGGAGCCGAGTTAGCTGCAGCCATCCAATTGTTGGCTTCCAGCTGGCTGTGGATCCAGTGGAAGGTGGAGGCCAGCTCACTCTGTGCCTGCTGTTGCTCAGCACCCAGCTGGTTGCTGGAGACCAACTGGAAGGAATGGCAAGCTTGTCAGGAGACATCCAGATACTGCCAGGGAGCCCTTGCCCATCCTCCTACCCTGCTCTGGGTTCCTTAGCTTACCATTCGGTGAAGGTCAAGGGCTTCTTGAAAGGCAGTCTGCAGCCTGTGCAAGACGGATCCTACAGTGCCCAGCTCAGGGAGTGTTGGGGGCAGGACCTCAGCAGGTAGCCCAGGCTCCCCACAGTGTCCAGGGCTGCCTGGGATCCCACTTGGTGTATCTGGGGTAGAGAAGAATGAATGACCAAGGTAGCCTGACTTTCTAGATGGCCTGAGAGGCCAGGTGGCTGGGCTAATGACTCTTGGCCCTGGACCACTTTCTTCAGTCCCGAGGCTCCTCTTCCTCACAGGGTTCTGCCGGGTATAAACTTCTCTCTAAATCTCTTTGTTGACATCCTAAAATTGAAGCTACACTGCTAACCCCCTTCTCTTACTTCTCTCAGTGGCTTGTATCACCTTGTGGTATGTTTGACACTTAGATTTTGGTCTGGGTATCTCCCCTAGCATAGGAATCGACTCCTTGCCCTCTTGTTTGCCACGGTCTCATGGCCCAGGACTGTTCCTTAACTATGTAAATGAGTGAATGAACGGATGAGCAGCAGAGTCCCCACGGCTAGGGAGAGGAGTCCAGCAACACAGGCTGGGCTAGGGCTCTACTGTACCCCACGGCAGTACTCACCAGGGATGGGCTCCAGGAGAGCAGTAGTGCTACCAGGCAGCCTAGACCTGGTCTCTAGAAGTTGAAGGTTGTTGGGATGGTCAGGAGGGGTGAGGGGCCCAGAGGCAGAGGTCTTTGGGAGAAGCATAGAGCTGTGGAGTCTCAGGGTGCTCACATCTACAGGGCTGGGTGCTTGCAAGCTGGCTACTGTGACTGCCATACCAGGCTGGACATCCACAGGTTCCTGAGACCTCACACATGTGGTGGGTGACTCCAGTGGGGGTGAGGTGAGGAGCTGGCCACAGATGCTGGATAAGGACAGTTTCAGGTTGGCT